TGAACATAATTAAAGCATAGTGATTAATCACAAAAACAATATGTAATTATATATGTGTTTTCCAATGGTCTTAGGCGACCCCTGTGAAAGGGTCGTTCAACCCCCAAAGGGTTAACGACCCACAGGTTGAGAACCGCTGTTCCAGGCAAAGGGAATAGTTAATAAAAATGATCAGAGGTATTAAACAGCATGTCATGTTAGGAACTGTGGACCATCTGGTATACTTAGACCATTTGTCTCAAGCAGGGGCAATTTTGCCCCCTAGAGAACATTTGACAAAGTCAGAATTTTTTTGGTTTTCACAACCAGATGAGTGCTACTGCCAACTAGTGGATAGAAGATAGATACTGCTAAAAATCTCCTCTCCCAAGGAATTACTGGGACAAAAACCACAATAGTATTGAGGCTAAGAAATCCTGCAGTATAGAGTGCAAAAGGGGTAGGAGTGGGAGGGCTTAAGATATGAAGCCCCGAGAAATCAGCTTGATCCTAAAGAATCTTGTTTTCCTGCTAAAAAAAAAAAAAGTGTACTTTATCCTGGCGATTGCGATGGAGAAATAATTAAAGAAAAATTTTAAAATAATTCTTTATTGTTGGAAGTATTACATATGTCCCCCCTTTTCCCCCATTGACCCTCTCCAGCCCGCCCCCCTACCCCAGACCCTCACTGTCCCACTGTCTGTGTCCATGGGCCATGCATATATGCATATAAGGTCCTTGGTTGATTACCTCCCATCCACCCACCCTCCACAACCTTCCTTCTGAAATTCCACAATAATTGAAGAAATTTTTTTTAAAAAAACATTTTAACACATTAAGTGCCATGTCAGTCACCGATGACTGACACCATACTTTCCGTCCAGAAGACAAAACAGGCTGGGCGCTTATTATGGAAATGTTCAAGTATGCCTAAAAGTAGAGAGAATACTATAATGAATTCCCATCAAACAGGGACTCAATTTCAATAATTATCAATATTTTTTATGTAATCTTGAAAAGTGTGTTTATTTAAAACAGCACAACTCACCCGGACAGTGTGGCTTAGTGGTTGAGCGTTAACCTATGAACTAGAAGGTCATGTTTGGATTCCTCTTCAGGGCACAGGCCTGGGTTGAGGGCTCAATCCCAGTAGGGAATGTGCAGGAGTCAGTCAGTCAATGATTATCATTGACAGGAGTTTTTAGGAGTGAGATAGGAGTGTTTAGGGGTGAGATAGGCAGGTTTAGAAAATTTTAGGAATTAAGGGGTCCATGGAAAAAGCACAGGGCTACAGAGCTGCAGGAGGTACATTTCCATCGAGTAAGGGAGCTGGGAGCTGCAGAAGGTGTACATTTACAGAATAAAGGGAGGGAAGCCCCTCATTCAGAGAAGGAAGAGGAAAGCCCAAAGGGAATAGAACAATAAGAGAGGAGAGGAGAGCCTCACCTGAGGTTTGAGCTCTGAAGTTGCTATAGTGACCAAATCAGAGGGGATAGTGACCAATCAGAGGGGATGTCAGGGCACAAAGAACTGCAGCCTTTATAAACCCTAGAATAAAGGGACTCAGTGGGACTCTTTCCCCCTCCCCACATGGAAGTCTGTGCTTGTTTCTCACCTTTTGCTATACCATCTTTTCATCCATGGTTTCATTCTTCGATTCCACTGGACAAGAATCTGGGAACCATCCTGCCCAGAGGAACACCACTCATTAAGGTCCAACTTTCCTGTATCCTCATCATTGATATTTCTATCTCGCCCTCTCCCTTCTTCTCTCTCTAAAATCAATTAAAAATTTAAAAAAGCAAGACTTTTGGGATTGGAGTTTATTGATAAGGTTAGGTTATTGGACCAAAGTATTTCATTTTAGGAAACTAGTGCTTGAATGATTGTTAGCATTTAAGGAAAAGCAACTTTATTCTCTGGCAGAGGAAATTACATGTTATCCGGAAGCTGCATTCTCTTGTTAGCATTCACATCTTTAAATTTTTCTTCTTTTGACTGACAGATCCTGCCTCAAGTTTATTTGTGCAAATAGCACAGGAGGACACTAACTCCATGCAGACAGCAGCCCAAGGGTCACACCAGTCCTTCCAGCCTCACATTGGTAGACAGAGGCCTCTACTGTGGAGATTTCCTGGGGGCACCTTTGGGAGCCTGAGCCTGAGTGTCAGCCTGTGGCTTGTTTTGAGTCTTGGCCTTGGACTTCGGCCCGCAGAGCTTGAAATCTCATGTCAGGTCTTTAAATGCCGCTCAGCATGGACACCTGCTGCCCTGACCTCTGCTCAGGTTCCATACTGACACATCCAGATGCCTCTTTGACAGCTCCTCTTAGAGAGCTAATGGGCCTCTCAAACATAGCATCTTCAAACTGAAGTCCTCCTGAGCTTCCTTCCAGTGTCCTTTGCGCCTCCATCCTTCCAGTTTGGGTGAAAATCTTTGCATTATCCTATCACCTCACTTTCCTCTCATACCATAACATGCAGTCTTTACAATGAGTTCTCCCCGCCCCCTTGCTGTGGCCCACATGGCCCTACATGATTGGGTCCTTCTCTATCTCACCAACCCCATCTCCTACCAACTTCATCCCCTACCATCCCCCCTCACGCTGCTCCACTACTCCCCAGTCCCACCTGCTTGTTCCTTGGTCACACCAAACACATTCTCCACCCCAGGGCCTTTGCACCTGCAGTTCCCTCTGCCTGGTGTTGTTACCTTTCCCCATTCATTACCAAGGCCTGCTCCCTCCCTTCATTCAGTCCTGCTCAAAGTTGGTGGGTCAAGAATGCCTTGCCTGGCCACCCTTGTCTAACATCACCCTGTGCTCCCTCTCTGTTATCATCCCCTGCTTTATTTTTATCCCTTTGTGCGTGGATCTCTCCAACTAGAATGTATGCTCCATGAGTTAAGGGATTTGTTTTTTTACTGCCGTCATCCTCACCGCCTAGCCGAGTGCATTGCACACATGTGTTGAGTCAAAGAGTGAATCAGTTTAATCATGTTGCTCTCCCAGCTAAGAATCTTACAGTGCTGCCTCACATCTCCGTGCCTTTGCCCATGCTATTCCCTCTGCTTGGAAGGCCATTCCTCCCCCTAGCCTGCCTGGAAAACTCTTACTCATCCTTCAAGACCTGACCCAACTGTCGCCACCTTTGTGAAGCCCCTGCTGCCAGGTAGAGTTAGCCAACGGTCCCTCCGTGACCCTGCAGTCCTGTACCTGCCTCCATTAACGCTGGGCTCTCATGTGGTTTTCCCGTCTGTCTTCTCCAGTGAACTGTGTGATCTTCCTGAGGACAGACACCACGTCTTCTCATCCTGTTTCCCTAGGGTCTAGTCCGGTGCCTGCACAGCCTTAGTATTTGGTAAAGGATTGCTGACTGACTGAGTAAATGAACCGACAGATGAGGGAAGGAAGTAGAAAGGAGGGAAAGAGGGACCATCTCTTTGCCTGTAGATGTCCTCAGGGTCCCCCTCACTAGGGAAGCTCCCTGTCCTCTAGACTGACCTCAACCCCTCGCCCCTTCATCCACACTTTCTAGAAACAGGTGCTACCCTCTTGGCCACAATGACCTTAGCTCCCAAACTTCAAAATCAGCAACCATGATCTGACTAGATGTATCCTGTGTTTTTAGAAATAACAAGAATGAATTTTTGAAATCTATCACATGTAGGCCTGTGGCTGCTCAGGTTTCTGTTAGGGTGAATGTGACCAAGAATCAGAGCTTACGGATCTAATACATATTGACTAGAGGATAGTTAGAAGCTACTGTACAGGCGAGTGCAGAGAAAACCCATCCACAATCCTACATCCTAGAGATGCTAAACATTAATTTTTTTTAAAAAAAGTATTTCATTTATTTTAGAGAAAGGGAGAGAGAAAAGAGAGGGAAGAGAGAAAAGTGACAGCGAGGGAAAGAGAAACATTGATCAGTTGCCTCCAGTAGGCGCCTTGACTGGGGATTGAACCCACAATGTTTTGGTGTACTGGGTAACGCTCCAACTAACTGAGCCGCCTGACCAGAGAAGACTTTTATATTTTTAACAGAAATCTCCATCTGTAAGGGTGTTTCCCTCACTGGACCAGGCCTTCCTTCACTCTCAGTGGAAAAGGCATGGACTTAAATCTTCATAACAATCTTACTCTTGTTTATTGTGCTTTTTCTGGAAACCTTCGATAACTATCTCCACCCCTAAAGTCTTCTTTTGTCTTTGGGTGAAGGTGGTATTTATGGTGATGGCTTTGTCATTTTGGTGAGAATTACTCAGTTTTCTTGGGGTCTCTCCCATGTATGCATGTACTAAACTTTTTTCTCTTGCTAATGTCTCATGCCAATCTATTTAGACCAGCCAGAAAAACCTTGAAAGGCAGAGTAAAATTTTTCTTTCCCAACAGTTTAGGCAAGTAAGCCAGGAGAACTCACTGGCTGGGACATGCTGGTTCAGTGGATAGAGCATTGGCCTGCGGACTGAAGGGGTCCAGGTTTGATTCCAGTCAAGGGCACATGCCCGGGTTGTGGGCTTGATCCCCAGTAGGGGGCGTGCAGTAGGCAGATCAATGATTCTCTGTCATGGATGTTTCTATTTCTCTCTCCCTCTCCCTTCCTCTCTGAAATCAATAAAAATATTAAAAAAAAGAAAAGTCTCAAAGAAAGTTCATATCAGTAGCCTATGGGAGCTGGTAATGATCATTGAAAAATATTAAAAATAAAGATTGATGGAAGGGTCTGGATACCAAAACCATTGGTGAATCCCTGACTCAGACTATAATTAGATTGAGAGATCATAAAAATGTATGGTTAATAAGATTATGAAAGTTGGGTTGTTTTAAGCAGGTATTATGTAAAGAAGTTATGCCAACTTTATCTGAATGTTTAAATAGGAATGGATATTATGTCTGGCTGTGGAACATTTCCCCTACCCAGCACTGTAAAACCAAAACTTGTTGATTAAATCTTAATGGAAGCTATAGATAAGATAGTTCATTCACCCAGCACACAGCAGAGTCAGACACTGAATACCAAGAATTGTAGTGGAGGAATTAGGGTAGCTTTATTGCAGGGCACCACACAAGAAGAACTGGAAGCTATCACTTAAAAACCCAGATCACTGATGGCTTACAATTGGGGGTTTTAAAGGCAAAATATCATGATTAAGCACGAGTAAGAAGTTCAGGGTTGTGGGCTGCGTTGTTCATTGGTCAGTTCTTGTGCAAGCTTCAGCAATTTTCTTAATCTCATTTTAGTTCGTGGTGGCATCCTGTCCAGGGTCTTCTTAACGCCAGGTGGTCCTTTCTGCTTAATGATTTCTGCAAGACATCTTGGGAGTGTGAGTCAGTGATGTTATCTTAAGAGCAGAAAAAAACAACATTAGAGCTATACATCCTATGCTTAACAGTTACTTTCTTCTAGTATCTTAAGCAAAGTATACTTTCTTTTTTTTACCAATATTTATTTACCTTTTATGTAAGGCCTAATATAATTAATTTTTAATTACAGTCCTTCAGATGTTTGAAGAAAAAATCTCTTTATTTAGTTCTAGAATAGCTTTACAGGCCACACTTACAGAATTTCAACTAAAAAGAATCTTTGTCTTTCTTTTTACACCAAGCAACCTACATGGTTGCTTCCTCAAGCAAAGTATACTTTCATATTCTTTCTTAAACTTACTTTACATGCAGGCCTCCAGGCCCCAGGATATGACTAAATTCCAGTGCAACTAAGACTCTTAAAAGAACTAATTTAATAATTTCAACTAAGTGCTAAATTTTAGTACACCTATCCTATATAACCCTATATAATAAAAGGGTAATATGCAAATCAACTGAACAATGGAATGACCGGTTGCTATGATGCGCACTGACCACCACGGGGCAGACACTCAACACAGGAGCTGCCCCCTGGTGGTCAGTGCGCTCCCACAGGGGGAGCTTCGCTCAGCCACAAGCCAGGCTGATGGCTGGTGAGTGCAGTGGCAGCAGCCTCTCCCGCCTCCATGGCAGCACTGCGGCCACCAGTTGGACATCCCCCAAGGGCTCCTGGACTGCTAAAGGATGCAGGCCGGGCTGAGGGGATCCCCCCCTCCCAGTGCATGAATGTCGTGCACTGACCCTCTAGTTATGTTATGATTTGCTATGTTTCAACAGTTCACAGTCACGTAGTTTTCTTTAGAAATTGAGGTTTTTAGCAGTTAAAAAGCCAAATATATATAATTGAAACTACTAGGAAAAATAAGTGAATCAACTTAGAATGCAAGGAAGTAGGATATATGTTTTCAGTAATGGAAGGTATTAGGTATAGGAATACATTTTTTGAGGGAAATTATAAGAAAATAAGTTTGCCCTAAAATAAGTTAATTATGTCTGAATGAGGAAAGTTATATAAGGTTCGTGAAAAGGATTCTCAAGAAAGGAAATTTTCTGTGTGGTCAAGTAAGATTGGAATGAATTTAAGTAAGCAAATTTAGGTACTAAAAGTAAACTGGCCCTAACCGGTTTGGCTCAGTGGATGGAGCGTCGGCCTTCGAACTCAGGGGTCCCAGGTTCGATTCCGGTCAAGGGCATGTACCTTGGTTGCGGGCGCATCCCCAGTGGGGAGTGTGCAGGAGGCAGCTGATCGATGTTTCTCTCTTATCGATGTTTCTGACTCTCTATCCCTCTCCCTTCCTCTCTGTAAAAAATCAATTAAATATATTTTTTTTAAAAAGTAAACTGATGCAAAATTAATTTGGTTTTTCTCTCTGTTTAAAGGATAAAGTTTTTATGGATTATTGGTCTGCTCTTCCTAAGATACAGTACTGAGAAAAGTTTTTTGCCAAGAAAAGATTCTATTTTATATCAACATCATATTCTGTATCCTATGATGCCTTAATTACTCAAGAAAACTGAATCATCTCAATAATAAGAACAAAGTTTTGCCTGGCTGGAATGGCTCAGTGGTTGAGCATTGACCTATGAACCAGGAGGTCATGGTTCGATTCTCAGTCAGGGCACATATCCGGGATGCAGGCTCCATCCCTGGTGGAAGGCGTGTAGGAGGCAACTGATCAATGATTCTCTCATCATTGATGTTTCTATCTCTCTCTCCCTCTTCTTCCTCTCTGAAATCAATATATATATATATATTACTTTACATGCAGGCCTCCAGGTCCCAGGACATGACTATTATATATATTAGAGGCCTGGTGCATGGATTCGTGCACCAGTGGGGTCCCTCGGCCTGGCCTGCACCCTCTTGCAATCTGGAACCCCTTGGGGGATGTTGGACTGCTGTTTTGAACCAATCCCCACAGGCCAGGCCGAGGGACCCCACAGGTGCATCAATCTGTGCACCAGGCCTCTAATATGCATATAAGATCTTTGAGATTCATCAGTCTGTTCCATGTTTCCATGCTTGTACGTTGAGTGTCTGCCCCCTGGTGGTCAGTGCGCATCATAGCTACTGGTCAAACGGTTGCTTAGGCTTTTATATACAGTAGGTCCTTGGGTTACGTCAGAGATCCATTCCTACAGCGCGACGTAATGCGATTTTCGCTGTAAGTCAGAACCCACCTACATAAGCACCTGGAGCACGTACACAGCAGTAATGAAGTGAAACTGTAAAAAAATTTAAAAGAAAGATAAAATTTAAAAGAAATATTCCTGACCTTTACTTGTGGTAAATAAATAATAAAAAACATAAAGCACATATGTACATATGTTGAAATGATGGAACTGTTTTTAAAAAATATATATTTGTATTGATCTCAGAGAGGGAGAGAGATAGAAACATCAATGATGAGAGAGAATCATTGGTTGGCTGCCTCCTGCACTCCCCCCACTGGGGATTGAGCCCTCAACCCGGACATGTGTCCTTGACTGGTTTCGAACCTGGGAACCTTCAGTCCGCAGGCTGACGCTCTATCCACTGAGCCAAACCGGCTAGGGCCTATTTTTTTTTTTTTTAATAAATAAATGGGAGATGGCGATGTAACCTGAGGACTGTCTGTATACAGATATAAAAGAACAGTCCTGACCGGTTTGGCTCAGTGGATAGAGCATCGGCCTGCAGACTAAAAGGTCCCAGGTTAGATTCTGGTCAAGGGCATGTACCTTAGTTGCAGGCACATCCCTGGTATGAGGTGTGCAGGAGGCAGCTGATCGATGTTTCTCTCTCATCGATGTTTCTAATTCTCTATCCCTCTCCCGTCCTCTCTGTAAAAAATCAATAAAATGTATTTAAAAAAAAGAACAAAGTTTTGCTAACAGTTATGTAACCTTTTGTATGTTTTTGAAATCTTTTATTGTCATTTTGGTTAATTGAATAAGTATCCTATATAATAAAAGCCTAATATGCAAATTGTCGCCTCTGGTGGTTGCCCTGCAGATGGCGACCAGCAGTGGTGGTAGGGGGAGGAGCTGTCGCCCGGCTCCCAGGCACTGAGGGAGCTGGGTGGGCGGGGGGGCCTGGTCCCAATCACGCCGCAGGCAGGATGGTGAAGCAGGTAAGGGGGCAGCGCCAGACCAAGGTGGGGTGCCAGGCAGGGCTGCGAGGCTGGGGGCGCAAAGCTGGGGGTGTGAGCTGGGGCCCGATCTCTGTAGCGCAGGCCACCCCAAGGGACCCCACCCATGCATGAATTCGTGCATCGGGCCTCTAGTTGTTTCATAATGACCTATAATCCTATTAAATATTTTAGAACAGCTTGATAATTTGACAAACTTCCCCAAATTCCAATTTTAAATATAAACAGAACCTTTTTCTTGACCTGGAATTAACTTTGAGGTGTTCCAGAGGGCCCCTGGAACATCTCAAAATATTTTTGTTCTTTCTATAAAATAGGTATTAAACTGATTAGGCTTATTTGGTATGTTAAATTACATGGGAAGCATTGTGAAATAAGTGATGATAAACTCCTAGGATATATTATATGGGTAAATAATGGCTGTAAATTAAACAAATAGTTGGGATTCTGGGAAACCCAAAACAGCTTCTTGGTTCTGTCAGTTTCCTTGGTAAATTCCTTTTATATATATTCTTTATCCATTATAGTACATTGAAACTAGATTTCATTCAACTGCCACTAATTAAGGGTTATTGATATGTTCTTATTGTTGTATATATATTTTCCAGATGGTTTGAAGCCTTTCTCTGCTGCAAGAACGATCCTTTACAGTGGCAAAGAAATTGTTAGAAAATGTGTTTTGCATTTGGTGAATACCTTCCATGGTCTCTAGTGATTTTGAGGCACCCACTTCACTGGGTAAAAATCATATGAACCTTGATGAAGGCCTTGAAAACTTCTTAGAAGTATCACTGTCTCTATCACCCTCAATCATCAGGCAAGCTTGAGAGAACTAGTGGAAAAACCAGATTTAAGCAAAACAAGACTTAATTACATAGGACTGAATGATGGGGATGATTACTGTTTTGTTTTTTTAAATATATTTTATTGATTTTTTGAAGAGAGAAAGGGAGAGGGGTAGAGAGTTAGAGACATCGATGAGAGAGAAACATTGATCAGCTGCCTCCTACACACCCCCTACTGGGGATGTGCCCGCAACCAAGGTACATGCCCTTGACCGGAATCGAACCTGGGACCCTTCAGTCCACAGGCTGACACTCTATCCACTGAGCCAAACCAGTTAGGGTGATGATTACTGTTTTTATGACTTTTTGTTTCATATATATCTGGTTCTTTAATTTTTGTTTCTTCCCCAGATATAAGGAAATCTTTCCTCTTAAGCTAAGTATGACTTAGAACAATTTGATAAATTATACCCTTTGTAAGCAGAACTGAAACAATTCTCCTTTCTCCCTGATTGATCCCTCCAGAATTCAGAAACTCTCAGTGAGTATTCTTATTTTCATGGTCATATTGTTATTTGTATAAGTTCAATAAGAATCTGTTCTTCTTGCATAGGACACAATTGGAAACTGATTACATTACCAAGGCTTTGACTAGGAAGTCAAATTAGAGAAACATGCACAGACTCAGATATGACCAGACAGGTTTAAGGAATTAAAATTGACTTATGGAAGCCAATAAAACCCTTTGAAATACTGGCTTGACAACCTGCTTACAAGGTTCCTAGTGATCTTACCAGGTGAGTAAGGAAGGGCATTTCCTGGCTGGTACAGAGACTTAAGGTGTTATGGTGATCTCAAGAAGAGAGGAATTCACCCAAAAATCTATACATATTGCAAGCAGTCTGATGGTAAGTCCTTGCCTTGGTTTTTCTGGCCTTGAGAAGTCTTTTAAAGTTCAATCTGAAGATTCTTTATGAAAAATTCCAGTAAAGAAATTGAAAAGAGTATCTATAGTTAATTGCTATTCTTGCTGCTCCTATGTAAATAACAGGATAACTTTATTGAATCTAGACTTATTTTGCAAACAAATTAGTCTTAATTTGACTGTCTTTGGTAAAAATGGGGGGTGATTTTTAACTTTACTTATTTGGGTGACCTGGTTAACAAAGTATTACAAGTTTCAGGTGATTTTAGAGAGAAAAATTATGTTTCAGTAAAACTATAATATACACTTGAGGATATCAGATTCTAGTTAATTGTCTTTGAGGTTTTATTTTCCCCCTATAAACTGGACTGGGTCCTGAATTCTTCTAGTTTCCCCAAATATTTGGCGTAGCTCTCCAAACTCACGTTTCTAATTTTCTCCCTCTCTTCTGACTTGGAATCATTGAGAAGTGAAACTGCCCTTTTCCCTGAAGCCCTGCAAACAAACTGACATTAGATGACTTGTAAACTCCCAGAGGAATCTCCACAATAATTAATACATGGACAATCTTTGTGCCTATTGCAGAAGGATCGCCAGAGATATTCAAACTGAAAAATCTATCAGACTGCCACTGCCTGCCTTCACTCCATCAAAAGATGTTTCAATCTTGACATCTAGAAATCTTGACTGGCTGCACCCTTGGCTCAGAAACTTTTATAATTTGCTGCAATCATTAACCACTGTTTTCTGTTTGTTTCCATGGATACGCCTCTTATTAATTACCTGATTGCTTGCATAATACAGGCCTACCTTTGGGGGCCTAACTGCAAGACAGCCTCCTGAAATGAGGCACAACTTTGAACTGAACTGACCTAGTCTCAAGACTGAGACTGGTTTAATGCAGCATGGAACTTAGCTTCTGAAATGTGAAACTCTTATTTGAAGTTTCACATGTGGGAGTGTGGGAGAGCAAAATTTGTCACCCCAAAATATGTCTCTTTGGCATAAGGATTACTTTAGGCTAGTTCTTGTGGCTAATCTAATAATAAAATTAAAATGAGGCAGATTAACAGGAGAAAAACAAATTAAAGTTTAATAACATTCATACCTCCTGTATACAGGAAAACTGAGTAAATTGCCCAAATGGTGGAAGCCACCACCTTAAATACCACCTTCAGCTGAAAAAGACCTTGGGAATGGAGAGCCAGTTATGGGAGGTTACCAGGAAAAGCAAACTAAACAAGTGTAAGATTGTTATGCAGATTTCAGCCCAGGCCAATAAATCTATTGTTAACAGTTTCTTCTACAGATTTGGATATCTTCTTCCTGGCACAGTAAGGGAAAGACCCTTACATCTATAAGATTTTCCTTATAAGGTAAACGTCCTTTTACAAAGGGTAGCTTCTACAGTGGAACCTCCTTTCTAATTCATTCTGGAAGGCAGTTTGAAAACCGAACCATTTTTTTCTTTTTTTCCCATTAGAAAACATGTAAATTGAATTAATCCATTCCAGACTCCCAAATGATTCCCTGTTTTAACCTTTCTTATATATAGTACATGTCTAATGTACTGTTTAATCTATAAACAATGTAAATGAAAATCTAGCAAAAAGGAAGTGAAATGTACAGTTAAAAATGAAAATTTAATAATAAGCAGCAACAACAGCAAAAAAAAAACCCCCCGAAAATATTCACAGTATTTTATGAAAATCCAATACTCTTTCATGATAAAAACACGTAAAGTCAGTATAGAAGGGAACTTCTTCAACATAAAAAAAAGCATCTAACACTGAGCTAAACTCACAGCTAACAACACACCTAGGCAGTGAGAGATTGATGCTTTCCTCCTAACATCAGGAACAAAGCAAGGATTACTTCTATTCAACATAGTACTAGAGAGTCCTGCTGTAGCCGTTGGTCAAGACAATGAAATAAAAGGCATCCAGACTAGAAAAAAAAACGTAAAACTATTTCTCTTTCCAGATGACATGACAAAGTAGATAGAAAATCTGGAGGAGTTCAACGTGATTACAGAACAAGATTAAAAAATCAATTCTATTTCTATATACTTGCAATGAACAATATGAAAATGAAATTTATATAGACACACAATTTTATTTACAATAGCATCAAAATTAAAATATTAGGAATGACACTAATAAGAGTTCAATATTTATAATCTGAAAATTAAAAAGTATTGTTGAAAGAAATGAAAATTTAAAATACATAGAAAAGTATGTGCTTATCAATTGGAAGATTAACATAAACATTAATTAGTATTGTTAAGATGGCACTGCTACCTAAATTGATCTACAGATACAATGCAATCTCTACCAGAATCTCAGCTGGAAAAAAAGGATCCCAGGTGATTTATTTGTAGAAATTGATAAGCTGATTCAAAAATTCATAAGGAATGCCCAGTCAGTTTGGCTCAGTGGTTGAGCACCAAACTAAGAACCAGGAGATCATGGTTCAATTCCTAGTGAGGGCACATGCCCAGATTGCGGGCTCAATCACCAGTAAGGGGGGGGCATGCAGGAGGCAGCCAATCAATGATTCTCTCTCATCGTTGATGCTTTTATCTTTCTCTCCCTCTCCCTTCCTCTCTGAAATCAACAAAAATCTATTTTTTAAAAAAATGCATAAAGAATTGGAAGAGATCCAGGATATCTAAAACAGTAGGAGGACTCACACTTCCTGACTTTAAAACTTACTATAAAACAACAGTAATCAAGATCTCGTGGTACTGGTATAAGGATACACATAGATAAATGGAATAGGATTGAGAGTCCAGAAATCAACCCATGATCAAATGTTTTTTTTTAATTTTTAAAAATATATATATATATATATATTTTTTTTTAAAAAATGTATTTTATTGTTTTTTTACAGAGGGGAAGGGAGAGGGATAGAGAGTCAGAAACATGGATGAGAGAGAAACATCGATCAGCTGCCTCCTGCACACTCCCCACTGGGGATGTGCCCGCAACCAAGGCACATGCCGTTGACCGGAATCAAACCTGGGACCCTTCAGTCCACAGGCCGACACTCTATCCACTGAGCCAAACCGGTCAAGGCTAAAATATATTTTTATTGATTTCAGAGAGGAAGGAAGAGGAAGAGAGACATAGAAGCATCAGTGATGAGAAGGAATCACGGATTGGCTGCCTCCTACATGCTCCCCACTGGGGACTGAGCCCACAACCTAGGCATGTGCCCTTGACCAGAATCGAACCCAGGACCCTTCAGTCCCCAGGCTGATACTCTATCCACTGAGCCAAACTAGTTAGGGCTGTGATTTTTTTTAATACTACTCTAAAAAGCAAAATAGGATCTAGGTTTGATATGTAGCTTTTGCTACTTACCTCAATACTATGTGGGGGTTTTTTTTTTGTCTTTAATAGTTGATAGTCAATATTATATTAGTTTCCCGTACCTAGCATAGTGGTTAGACATTTATTAAACTTACAAAGTGATCACCCGATAAATCTAGTACCCACTCCCACACCATAGTTATTACGCTATTATTGACTATATTCCCTATGCTGTACTTTACATCCCCGTGACTATTTTATAAGTGAATTTGTACTTCTTAATTCCTTCATCTTTTTCACCCAGTCCCTTAAAGCCCCTCTCATCTGGCAAACATCAAAATATTCTCTGCTCATCATTGATGTTTCTCTCTCTCTCTCTCTTTCTCCCTTCCTCTCTCTGAAATCAATAAAAATATATATAAAAAATATATTCTCTGTATCTATGAGTTTGTTTGTTTTGATTGTTCATTGTTTTTCAGATCCACATATAAGTGAAATTCTATGGTATTTGTCTTTCTCTGAATTATTTCACTTAGCATAATACATTTTAGGTCTATTTATCTTACTGCAAATTGTAAGATTTCATTCTTTTTTATGGCTCAGTAATATTCCATTGCATATTTGACCATCTATCAATGGACACTTAGGTTGCTTTCATATTTTTGTCTCTTGTTATAGACTTTGTTTTATAGTCTATTTTGTCTGATATATGTATTGTTTCCCCAACTTTTTTTTCTGTAATCATTGCCAGTTTTATTTCTCTGGCTAAGAGATCCAGAGGTGATTTGAGGCTTACATTTAAAAAAAAATTTTTTTATTGATTTAAGAGTGGAAGGGAGAGGGAGGGAGAAACATCAGTGATGAGAGAGAATCATTGATTGGCTACCTCCTGCATACCCGCGACTGGGGATCGAGCCCACAACCCAGACATGTGCCCTTGACCTGAACCGAACCTGGAACCCTTCAGTCCGCAGGCTGATGCTCTATCCACTGAGCAAAACCAGCCAGGGTTATATTTTAATAGTTATTTCACCAAGAGTTCAGGGGCCTCCATTGCCCTTATAAGCTGGTTGCAAATTATTTGATTCTTTTTTTAAAAATATGTATTTTATTGATTTTTTTTACAGAGAGGAAGGGAGAGAGATAGTTAGAAACACCGATGAGAGAGAAACATCGATCAGCTGCCTCCTGCACACCCCCTACTGGGGATATGCCCGAAACCAAGGTACATGCCCTTGACCGGAATCGAACCTGGGACCTTTCAGTCCGCAGGCGATGCTCTATCCACTGAGCCAAACCAGTTACGGCTATTTGATTCTTACTTATTAAAGAACTTTAATTCTGTCTGTGACACAAGTTCATTAAAAATACATATAAGTGCCCTGACCAGTTTGGCTCAGTGGATAGAGTATTGGGCCATGGGCTGAAAGGTCCCGGGTTCAATTCTGGTCGAGGGCATGTGCCTTGGTTGTGGGCTTGATCCCCAGTGGGGGGCGTGCAACAGGCAGCTGATCCATGTTTCTCTCTCATCCATTTTTCTAACTCTCTATCGCTCTCCCTTCCTCTCTCTAAAAAATCAATAAGAATACATTAAAACATACATATTAGCAAAAAGAAAACTCACACCACACAGAAATGAGCACAGTTAAGTTTCTGATGTATATATGTATATATATATGTATACACACATGCATGCAAACACACCACTTGGGATTTTTATCGTACATATGTGAGCTGATACTAAATATGCTTTGTAACTTATGTTACTTTACAATATGGAATGAACATATTTTCATGCCTTTGTGTAAAACTTCCTAGTTGAAAAATAGACCTGGAGAATGGGTCAAAATACAAAATCCAGTAAGATGCTGGTTAACAAGTAAACTATCTAAAACAAAATTCTACCAGATGAAAAGTAAAATGAAGATAAAAGATACATCAGAATATGCTAACAGAAAGCAGGGGCCAGATTTTACTATCAGGTAAAAAAAAAAAGAATTCAAGGCCTAAAGCACACAGGATAAGGTTGTCCGCGAGAATGTCTTTGCTTTTAATGCATCATCACAAACTTGTTTCTTACTCTTATTTCTTCTCTAAGCCTTTCCAATTCATATATTCCTCTTAGCATTTCTTCAGGGTTCAAATGCCTAATGGGAGTGTCTTCTTTGAATGCCTGCACAGGTTGAGTCAACCCGCTTCTAAGGTTTCCTTCTGCCTCCTGTGGAACATCTTCTGAAGGGTGGTCTTCCTCAGCCTTTGGCATGTTCTATGGCTTTCCTTCATTTTCTTCACAAGACTTTTGCATGTTGAGTATTTTTCTATTATTTCCTTTTTGAATAAATTAATCCTGCAGGGATCCAGCGGATTTTTCTCCTTCTTCCCTCACTCAATTTGTGTTGTGCCCAAAAGACCAAATGTCCTAAAAGGATCCAGGGCACTTTCCAAACTTTTTTTTTTCATTTCCACTTGCCTGAAATATCTTTTTCTATTCCTTTATTTTCAATCTGCCGGGGTCCAGCCCCAGCGGGTCCAGGGGTCCCCAAAGGTGTAGACGGAGTCGGCGAAGAAGGAATGACATGGAGACAGCGTTCAGTTGATCAGCAGCCTAGCCAGGATCTCCAGCCAAGTTCTGGTCTGGATCTCCAGAGAGGTTCTGCTCTGGATCTCCAGCAAAGTTCTGGTTAGGATCTCCAGCCAGGTTCTGTGTCCATGTTCTCTTGCTAGGTTCTCCAGCCAGGTTCTCCAGCCAAGTTCTGTAGCCAAGTTCCCTCGCTAGGTTCTCCAGCCAGGTTCTGTCCAGGTTCTCCAGCCAGGTTCAGTCACCAGGTTCTAGTCAGGTTCTCTTGCCAATTTCTGTAGTCAGGTTCAGTCCAGGATCTTTTGCCATGTTCTCTCGCTAGGTTCTGTCTCTAGGTTCTGAGGCCAGTTTCTGTCCAGGATCTTTTGCCATGTTCTCTCCAGCGAAGTTCTTCTGTCTCTAGAGAACTTTCTGTGTAGGTTCTGTGCCTAGGTTCTGTCTCTCTTTGTTCTGTCTTCTTACATCTGTATTTATACCAGTTGATTCCAATCCTATCAATCTCTATTTCAAAGGTTAGGGCGTTTCTTATCTCCATTCCAGGGAGTAAAGATTATGTAGCTTAAGCATGATTGTTTGTAGTTAAAGTGATTAATTACCCACCTGGCACTTAGTTAAGAGGTTTTATTCCCTCCCTAACTTCAGGGGAAAATCCCTACCTGGGGAAACAACCTATCTCAGAGACCTTGGTTAAAACACATAGTGCCAAGAAGGTGAGCAAACATATTAAGAACAGTATGCCATATATGCCAGGTCCCTTGAAACAGCAAGCATGGACCGGCTCCCGGCATCAATCTGTGTATCTTTTGATCTGAAGTGGTTCTCCTGTAGGCAGCATATGGATGGGTCTTATTTTCTTCTCCATTCAGCCACCCTGTCTTTGGATTAGAGCATTTAATCCATTTACATTTAAAGTAACTATTGATAGATAGGTATGTAGTTATTGCCATTTTATTATTCAAATTTTTATCCCCTTTTTCTTCTTAAAGAAGTCCCTTTAACATTTCTTGTGATGATGAATTCCTTTAGTTTTTTTTTCTTATCTGGGACAGTTCTGTATTTCTTGATCTGGGTGGTGGTTATTCAGGTGTGCCTATATAATTACTAATATTGAAAAATTATGGCCGAAACCAGTTTGGCTCAGTGGATGGAGCGTCGGCCTGCGGACTGGAGGGTCCCGGGTTCGATTCCGGTCGGGGGCATGTGCCTGGGTTGCGGGCACATCCCCGGTGGGGGATGTGCGGGAGGCGGCTGGTCGATGTTTCTCTCTCATCGATGTTTCTGACTCTGTCTCTCTCCCTTCCTCTCTGTAAAAAATCAATAAAAATATATTAAAAAAAAAAAAAAGAAAAATTATGCTTTATGCACTTTCCTAGATGTGTATCTTCCCATCTCAGTAAGTGGCACCATCTTCCATCTGGTTACTCAGGTCAAAAATTTTGAAGTCAGTACGCAAAGACCACAAGGGGGTGCAGCAAGAAAGCATAAAAAATGCGGAGACAAAGAAACAGGACACAAATGACAGAAATGGAGGAAAGAAAACTGCTGGATATAGAGTTCAAAACCACACTTTTAAGGTGTTTCAAGAACTGTCTAGAAGCCGCCGATAAATTTAGTAAGGCCCTCGAAAAGACTGGTGAGACAGCCAATAAATGTTATGAGATCCTCAAGAAATCTAGTGAGACCCTCAATGTTGTGATAAAGGACCAACTAGAAATTAAGCATGCACTGACTGAAATAAAGAATATTATACAGACACCCAACAGCAGACCAGAGGAGCGCAAGAATCAAGTCAAAGATTTGAAATACGAAGTAGCAAAAAACATCCAACCGGAGGGGCGGAATGAAAAAAGAATCCAAAAATGTGAGGATAGTGTAAGGAGCCTCTGGGACAGCTTCAAGTGTACCAACATCCGAATTATAGGGGTGCCAGAAGATGAGAGAGAGCAAGATATTGAAAACCTATTTGAAGAAATAATGACAGAAAACTTCCCCTACCTGGTGAAAGAAATAGACTTACAAGTCCAGAAAGCGCAGAGAACCCCAAACAAAAGGAATCCAAAGAGGACCACACCAAGACACATCATAATTAAAATGCCAAGAGCAAAAGACAAAGAGAGACTCTTAAAAGCAGCAAGAGAAAGAAAGTCCGTTACCTACAAGGGAGTACCCATACGACTGTCAGCTGATTTCTCAACAGAAACTTTGCAGGCCAGAAGGGAGTGGCAAGAAATATTCAAAGTGATGAATGCCAAGAACCTACAAACAAGATTACTTTACCCAGCAAAGCTGTCATTCAGAACTGAAGGCCAGATAAAGAGCTTCACAGATAAGGAAAAGCTAAAGGAATTCATCACCACCAAACCAGTATTATATGAAATGCTGAAAGGTATCCTTTAAGAAGAGGAAGAAGAAGAAAAAGGTAAAGATACAAATTATGAACAACAAATACACATCTATCAACAAGTGAATCTAAAAATCAAGTGAATAAATAATCTGACTAACAGAATGAACTGGTGATTATAATAGAATCAGGGGCATAGAAAGGGAATGGACTGACTATTCTTGGGGGGGGGAGGGGTGTGGGAGATGCAGGAAGAGACTGGACAAAAATCGCGCACCTATGAATGAGGACAGTGGGTGGGGAGTAAGGGTGGAGGGTGGGGTGGGAACTGGGTGGAGGGGAGTTGTGGGGGGAAAAAAGAGGAACAAATGTAATAATCTGAACAATAAAGATTTAATTAAAAAAAAAATTTTGAAGTCACCTTGACTTTTCTCTTTATCTTATACCCCATATCTAAATAACCAGAAAACCTTGTCAGTTTACTTTCACCCCTTCTCACCACCTGGTTTGATCCACTATCATCTCTCACCTGGACAAAGGCTGTAAGTAGCCTTCTAACTAATCTGTCCCCTTCATCCTTTGACCCTCCAGGTTTGGTTTATTTTCTCCCTAGAAACCAGTTGTTGTTTTTTTCTCCTTTGACATGAAGATATTTCTTAATGAGATAAATGTAGACCCATGTGTAACAGATACTCCAATTAAGATATAAAACATTTCCTCTGTCCCCTCAAAGTTCCAAAAGGATCCCTTTTTGGGAGTCAATCCTCACCCGAGGATATTTTTTCCCTGTTGATTTTTAGAGAGAGTAGAAGGGGGAGCGAGAGAGAGAAAAAAACATCAATGTGAGTGCCTCCCATACTCGCGCCACAAATGACCAGGGCTGGGATGGAGCCTGCAACAGAGGTACATGCTCTTTGTGTTCTTTACTGGAATTGAACCCATGACTCTTCAGTTGGAGCCAAACCGGCTAGAGCCAGAAGGATTCCCTTTATTTATTTATTTATTTATTTATTTATTTATTTATTTATTTATTTATGAAATTTTAAGGCCAGTTTATTAAGTTCATTAATTGTTTTTTCTTAAAAGAAAGAAAAAAGGAAAATCAACACCCTCTCAGCATAGGCACAGATGCTGTGGCAGTCTAAGCCTCTGCGGATGAGGATGGTCCGTCAATTGATCAAGTCACTCCCTGGGTCAGCAGTGTTGTCGTCTGGGTCATCCTCATCATCCTCCAGCTCCAAGTCATCTATTTCCTGGGACGACGATGCATCTACCTCCACATTGTTTCCAGCATCCTCCAAGAACTGGGTATCAGATGTGTCAAGATTGTGATCTGTTTCAAACAGCTGTTTCCTACTTATTTATTCCTGCTTGTTTTTTTTCCCCTTCATTCCTTTTAATTTTCACGAATTCTGCACCAAACTTGGCTTTCCAACTTAAGAAATTCTCAACAGGAGTGCAATGAAATAATTGCTTTTGGGCTTCTTCTGCTGCTTTTTCTCTTTGTTTCTTTTCTTCTCCTAGTTTTTACTTGATCCACTATTTAATTTTTCTTGTACAGCTGTCACTAAAGTAAAGATCATCACCATACCAAGGTTTTCTTCTGCCTGTAATACTAATAATTTTAAGATGCTTAAGACAACATTATCTCCTAGATTTTCCTGGGAGAATATTTCATAAAGGAGGACTTCATTTGGATATTTCTCACCATATGTAAACTTGAGTGTAGTCTGGACAGTTTCATCATTTTCTCCAGCCTCAGATGTCACAGTAATGGTGAAGCTAGGAGAAGTTTCTGATAATACTGTAAAGGAGTCGGGGTACATGGACTCCAGAGCCTCCAGCTCCTTGCGCTGCTCCTCACCTCTCGCCATACTTTGTCATCATTGCACTTATTGCCGCTCATGGATCGCCCAGACACCCAGGCGGTGAGCCATAGCTGGGACCACAGCTGCACTGGGAGAGCGGGCAGTGGCCAGGCTGGCTCAGGAGCAGAGTCCCTGGCTGGGAGGCCCGGGCCCCCAGAAGGACCCTTTTAAAGCCAGTATCAGGTCATGTCATTCCTCTGCACAAAAGCTCCCGGTTGGCTCTCCATCTTATTGAGATAAGGCTGTAAACAGTCTGCGCCGCCCCTCCCCCATTATTTGTTATCTAATCTTGGAGTTCTTTCCTCTTCCTTGAGTCCACTCCAATTATATTGCTTCCTCACTATTCCTAGAACATATGTCTGGTACTTTCCTGCCTCAGGGCCTTTGCACATGATTTTATGGCTCTTTTCTGAAATGCTCTTCTGCTGTATACCTGCTTTGTTTAGGTCTCTGCTCAAATGTCACCTATCAGAAGAGGCCCTCCCTTACCATTCTAAATAAAATAACCTTCTCCACACCATTGCATTGCTTTATTATTTTTCATAGTACTTATGTCAATCTGATATTATGTATCTGTATGCATAAATCTGTTACTGTCTCTCATGTAAGTTCTATGAGAGGAGGAACTTCAGGGCTTTTGTTATAGCTCTATCTCCAGTGCTTAAATCAATCAATACCTGACCATATAGTGGGTGCTCAAAACTATTAAATTAATATCCACAGATTCCAGTTTGTTTACCATCATGTCACCTGGACTAGTGCACCAACCTAACCCATCTCCCTGTTTCATGTCTGGTTCTTTCAATTCATTTCCCACACCATAAAATTATCTTTATAAAATTCAAATCTGATCATTTCACTTTCTTTCTTAAAACCCTTTGAAGGCACTCTTTCGCCCTTCAAAGTCCCTAACATGACTTGCAAGGTGTCTGTTTTTTGGCCCTGACTACCTGGCCACCTTGCCTTTTTCCTCCAACCACCCTGGACTGTTCTGAGTTCTGAGCTGAAACCAGTCTCTTACTTCAGGTCATTGGAATATACTTAACTCTCTGCCTGGGATATTCTCTTTCCCACCAGGGTCATTTCCTACGGGAGACCCCTCTGACTTCACACTAGGTTAGCTCTTTCAGAGTCCAGCTGCAATCTCATCCCTGCTGGCACTATTTTTGTAGCATGAAAAATATCTTGAAAAAAAAAAAAAAGAAAAATATCTTGAGTACGCCACTGATTTATGTACTTTTGTAGTGTTATTATCCCTTTAAGGATCTGCTGCCTGGCCAGTGTGGCTCAGTGGTTCAGTGTCAACCTATGAACCAGCCCGCAACCCCAGCATGTGCCCTCGGCTGGAATCAAACCCGGGACCCTTTATTCCACAGACCGATCCTCTATCTGCGGAGCCAAACCAGCTAGGGCTAAAAAAATATTTTTAAAAAAACTATACTAAAAAAAAAATCTGCTGAATGCTATGGTTTCTAAGAATAATGTTCATTTGCATATATTTTGGATATTCTATTAAGATTCAGATAGGTATTAAAAAAACATGTGGAGTAGTAGACAAATGTTTTCTTTTCCTCTTCTCTTAGCTCTTTTAACTTCTTGTGTGCTCTTGCTCTGGGGAGCAGGACCTGGCCTTTGGGTTCCCCTCTTCTTACCTCCAGGCAATTAGTTTACCTTTGCCTTTCCCTCTCCTAAGCACCAAGGGCGTTTGTTTTTATTATTATTATTATTTAAATATTTTTATTGATTTCCTAGGGGAAAGGAGAGGGAGATAGAGATAGAAACATCAATGATGAGAGGGAATCACTGATTGGCTGCTTCCTTCACACTCCCCACTGGGGATTGGGCCTGCAACCCAGGCATGTGCCCTGACCTGGGAATCAAACTACGACCTCCTGGTTCATAGTTTGATGCTCAACCACTGACCCATACCAGTTGGGCCCTTCTTTTTATTTTTTAATTTATCTTTATTGTTGACAGTATTACCGATGTTCCCCTTTTGCTCCCATTGACCACCTCCAGGCCCTCTCCTTGCCCCACTCAGGCCTTTACCACACTATTGTCTGTGTCCCTGGGCTATGCATGTATGCATATAAGTTCCCTGGTTAAGCTCTCCCCACCCACCCTCTATCCCTACCTTCCCTCTGAGATTCATCAGTCTGTTCTATGCTTATGTCTCTAGATCTATTTTGTTCATTAGTTTACTTTGGTTCATTAGATTCCACATGTGAGTGAGATCATGTGATATTTATTTCTCTGACTGGCTTATTTTGCTTAGCATAATACTCTCCAGGTCCCTCCATGCTGTCTCAAAGGATGCAACCACTATGGAAAAACAGTATGGAGTTTCCTCAAAAAATTAAAAATGGAACTGCTGTTTGACCCAGTGATCCCACTTCTAAGAATATATCCTAAGAAACCTGAAACACCAATCAGAAAGAATGTATGCACCCCTATGTTAATAGCAGCACAATTTACAATAGCTAAGATCTGGAAACAGCCCAAATGCCCACCAGTAGATGATGGGATTAAAAAGCTGTGGCACATTTACACCATGGAATATTATGCAGCTATAAAAAAGAAGGATCTCTTACCCTTTGAGAGAGTATGGAGAGACCTAGAGATAATTATTCAAGGGCCCTTCTTTTGTTTCTATGGTTTCCTGAGTCTACACAGCCCAGTAGGCCCACTTCTATTATCTTTGTAACTTTCTACATAAATGTCCTCTTATAATCTGAAAAAAAAAGACCAACTTTTGATATGTACTTTTAATTCCATCCCTTGTCAGTTCTAGCGACCTCCTAGAACTTAGTCATCAGCAGCATTCTTTCCCTTTCTTCTTGTTTTCTCCTGGACTCTCTCTCTGACTATATAACATATAACAATTCAATGTATATCTTTTTATTTTTCCTGCCAGAAACATAATTTTACTATTTAAACATAGTGAAAAATCTAAAAAAATTTCAAGCAAGATAGAAAAGTCCAAAGTTAAGAGTAACCAATTCCCTAGACCAGTGATGGCGAACCTATGACACGCGTGTCAGAGGTGACACGCGAACTCATTTTTTGGTTGATTTTTCTTTGTTAAATGGCATTTAAATATATAAAATAAATATCAAAAATATAAATCTTTGTTTTACTATGGTTGCAAACATCAAAAAATTTCTATATGTGACACGGCACCAGAGTTAAGTTAGGGTTTTTCAAAATGCTGACATGCTGTGCTCAAAAGGTTCGCCATCACTGCCCTAGACTCTCACCATCAAAATTAAGCAATGTTCCCATTTGATGACTATTACTTTATACATTTTTTAATCACTGTATATCTTTTCCTATAAAGCTTTATTCTACTCTTTTTTTAATATTTTATTGATTTTTTACAGAGAGGAAGGGAGAGAGATAGTTAGAAACATCGATCAGCTGCCTCCTGCACATCTCCTATTGGGGATGTGCCCGCAACCCAGGTACATGCCGTTGACTGGAATCGAACCTGGGACCTTTCAGTCCACAGGCCAATGCTCTATCCACTGAGCCAAACCAGTCAGGGATATTCTATTCTTGAATAACTTTTTAGCATAAATTCTCAGGAATATTTATTTAAAATTAACCATTTTAATGATTATTTTGTTAGTCATTGCCATATTTCTTGCCATACCTTTTTTAAATAGAATTTATTGGGGTGACATTGGTTAATAAAATTATATAGGTTTTGGGTATACAATTCTACAATACATTTGTATATTGTATTGTGTGTTACCACCCCAAGTCAAGTCTCCTTCCATCACCATTTATCCCCCTTTTACCCTCTTCTACCTCTCCCACCCCTCTATGATACTTTTGTTAATCCTTACCCGAGGATATTTTTCCATTGATTTTTAGAGAGAAACAACATGTGAGAGAGACACATCGATTGGTTGTCTCTTGTACGCCCACTGACCAGGGCCAGGGATGGAGTCTGCAACCGAGGTATGTGCCCTTGACCAGAATCTAACCTGGGATCCTTCAATCCACAGGCCAATGCTGTATCCACTAAGCCAAACTAGCCAAGGCCTTTTAAAAACACTCTCTTCCTTTGCTCCTGTTTCTCCATCTGCCTCTACAAGGTCTTTCCTGTTTCCTATTTGGCTCAGTCTCTTTCTCTCATCCCTTAAATGCTATTTCTGTGTGATGCTTTCTTTATTAAAAAAAAAATACATATTATTGATTTCAGAGAGGAAGGAAGGAAGAGAGAGAGAGAGAGAGAGAGAGAGAGAGAGAGAGAGAGAGAGAGAGAGAAAGAGAGAGAGAAACATCAATGATGAGAATCATTGATCAGTTGCCTCCTGCATGCCCCCTAATGGGGATCGAGCCTGCAACCCAGGCATGTGCCCTGGATCAGAATCAAACCAGGACCCTTCAGTCCGCAGGCTGACGTTCTATCCACTGAGCCAAACCAGCTAGGGCCTCTGTGATGCTTTCTTAAGCCCTTTTCCCAGTAGGCTTCTCAAGTATCTAAGGTATCTCCACTATACTTTATATACTGTTATAGAATGTTTCACATTAATACACTGAGAAGAGTACAGCATCTCTCCTATGGTTTTTCTTCTAAAAATGAATAAGCTAAATTTAATAATAAGGAAACATCAGACAAACCAAAATTTGGAGGTAGCTACAAAATAACTGGCCGGTACTCTTTAAATATGTCAAGGAAATGAATAACAAAAGAAAGACTGAGAGTTCTTCCAGAATAAGAGATGAAGGAGACATCACAACTAACTGCAATGTATGACCCTGAATGGCACTATGGTCCAGAAAGAGGACATTAGTAGAGCAATTGATGAAATTTGAATAAGGTCTGTAAATTACTTAACAGCATTGTACCAATGTTAATATTGCAATTTTACTAACAGAATGCAGTTATGTGTGTATAAGAGATCTGTTTACTCCAACTTTTTATTTCAATGCAATCCCAATCCAGCATGTTTTTGTAGTTGACATGATGAATCTAAATTTTTTATGGGAATGCAAATAAACAACAACAAAAAAAGTTTCACATTGTGAGTTTGTGTTTCTGAACTCCTCCAAAGCTGGGATTGGGTTTATCCTGAGAGATCAATCCAGTGCACTTTTTTTTTGTACTCATCACACCTGTCACTGATGTCTAGATCCATGAGTACAGGGGCTGTATCCATTGTTTGCTAATATCCCTTATGCCTGACATAGAATAGCTGCTCAAAGAATATCTTTTTTTTTAACTTATATCTGCTTATTTTTTATTGAGTTAAGTATAAAGGCCCAGTTAATCAATTCATTAGATTGGTCAAGGCAAGACACTTGAACTATAAAAGAATTTTAAAAGCGGTTGGTCTTTTAGTCATTTCTCTGGTATTCACACACGTGTGCACACATACACACACACACAAACTGTTAGAGGATTTTGCATATAGGATCTCCCCCCCATAATTTTGTATAACTTGCTGTTCAAAATCTGCAGTATTTTGAAACCTATATAAGTAGGACATAACCAAATTAGAAATGTCTGATAAACTCTTATAAAGGGAGAACTTCAGCTTATTCCCAAAAAGATCAATTCTAAACAATAAAAAAGGAAAATTCATATAAAAATCACAACAGATTTAACAGACATCCTTGAAAACAAAATCAAATTCTAACTCATTTTGCAATTTTTTCAAATATGACTAAGGAAAAATGGTACAAGTAGTAATGTTTACATTTTTAGAAAACTATTAATTCAGTGGATTGGGAGGAGAAAAATTACTATACAGTATCATTGCACCCCACGAATGTGCAGAATTCCAAAATGTGCCAGCACTAAAAACTGTCTTGCATTGAGGTTTTCCAAGAGGTACAACGAGCCTGCTAAGAAACATCTGGTCTGTACTAACAGCTTGCTGTCTTCAGTACAGGCCTTCATAATGTCAGTCACGCTGCTCTTGCAAAAATCCCGTAATGTAAAAGAGTTTTCAGTGCTGATAGGTGGGGCTATGATCGATGATGTGGGATTGAATCCATATGGACATTGAGCTTCATTTCATTGTCAAGAATTTGAACAAGCTGTTGCATGGATGGAAGATGACCAGATTCCAGCTTAGACCACACAGGTACATCATTCAAAGTTATTTCAAATGCACCTGTTGACATACACTGGTTCTCAATCATGTTGCTCAAGAAGAAAACCATCATACATGCATAGACCTTATTTTCTTGGCCCCATTGCCAGATGCTAGGAGCTTGCATGCCAAAGAAAGCAAAAGGATCCTTGCCAACAATTATTAAGCCTATTAAAACTAGTTTGAAGATTGACAGGAAAGATGCTATGTGTCTATATATTGGTTGAGGGAGGTGATTCTCTCCTTCAATGTGGATGTCTGGGTACCGCTGGCTAATAACCCGCATGTACTCCTCAAACACCCGCCTATAACCTCAGGAAACACAAATCTGGAACTTGAGCAGCGGGCCAGTGGCGTACTGCATCTTTAATCTCTTGCTAGGCACGCCGCCCAGGTTGGCCAAAAAGCTGCTCCTGACCAGCGGGGATGCCGCCACCAGGAGTAATAGCAAAAGCTTCATCTTCCTCGAGCCAGCCACTTCAGCCGCACTCAGACTAAGACTGCAGCCAGTCAGGGCCCAGCGGAAGCCGGGAGCCGCTCTCAAAGAATATCTTTAAATGAATTAATGATGTGAATTAAAAAAATCCTAACCCACAATTTATTCTTGCATTTCTTTCCTGGGATCAGCCCAAATTCTAGCCAGATCAATAAAAATTTACTAATCATTTGGCCTCACTGGCCTCCCTACCTCTTATCATCCCTCTCCCTGCAATCTAATAGTCTACAACAGAAAATGTTTTATAAGTCTGATTTTGTTCCCTTTCCCAAAACTCTGCTATCTCCCCATTACCGAAAGAATATGTAGTCAAGCTTCTCAACTTGGGTTCAAGGATTTGGCCCCAGTCTCCCTCTTGAAAACTCTCTGGGTTTATTTATTAAGGACTTATTATATGTCAAGCACTGGGCTAGTTACAGGAGTTCACAAATTAGTTGGGAAGACAGGTATCTAGATTAACTTTAATAGGGGGTGATATTACAGGGTCTGTGACTGCAGTTGCAGACAACGCATTCTAAAATACTAGGTTTTTGCCCTCTGCAATGTCCAATATGGTGGCTACCAGCCACATTTCAAGTGCTCAACAGCCACATGAAGCCAGCAGCTATCATATTGGACAGAACAGCATAGATCATTTCAATTATCCATGGAAGGGGTGGTTAGTGTAGGTGCTTCAAAGAGAGCAAGGGCCACTTCCCATACAGGCATTCTGCGGTGTTAGCCACCAGTCAGTCCCCCAACCCAATTCTCCCACTCACCTTCCCCATACCTTGGCTGGGGTGTATTATGGCACAGGCTCCCAATAGAGATAATGCATGAAAGTACTTTTGCAAAACATTAAGTGATACAGAAATGTGATATAATAGATTCAGTTCTTCCTTTCACCACAGTTTTGGTTATTTCAAGCAAATTCTAGCTCTTTTCTCAAATTTCTCCCATCCTTGTAATTTATGCCAAAGAGTTCTGAAAAGTTACACACAGGCAGCATTTATACCAAGTAAAAATATAGATTATACTTACCTTGATGCTTTCACAAGCCATCTATCAAGGAACCTACTTCATCACCTGCCTTTTCCTCTGTCAAGTTCCCTAGAAAGGAAGGACACAAATTAAGATTTCCAAAATATTTATTTTGAAATTGGAAAATAAGGGAAAACTAAGTAATGGGAATTGGACCCGAATCGGGGTTTTCTGGAAAATCATAAGTACCATCCTCTTCTGCTTCCTGATGCTTATCCAGTTTAGCAATCAATTCTTTCGCTGGATTGAAGACGCCATTGGTCTGCTGGTCACAGACGTAGCAGCGCGGGGTCGTGCGGAAATGCTGCAGTGCACAGCTCTCGCAGAAATAATGCCTGCACTTGGTGACGACTGGGTTTTGGAAGGACTGGCGACAGATGAAACACTTGAATGGTATTTCCTCACTATCGCTTCCCACTTCATAATTTTCATCTTCATAGACACCATAGCGACCCTCATCAAGCTCACGTTCGATCTGCCACCCATGCTTGTAATCTGATCGGTCATGGAGGAATTTGCAGCTGTCTCCGAAGCCACAAAAGCCAGTCTCCTTATAGTCCTTACAAATGTCGGGCTGGTAATCCCAGCGCACGGTGGCACGTAGATGCTCGGGAGCTCGGATGGGGCCCTTCCGCACCATTCCGGAGGAAGCATTGCCCATAGATGTATCCTTGGGTTTCATGTATTTCTGATAGTTATTGATTCCCCGATAGATCTTGTCATCTTCCTTGCCTCTCAGCTCTTCCTGGATCTTCTGGCTGCGCTCAAAGATGGCTTGTGCGTCACGCTCCTTTTCTGTGTCTAGCTCGTAGACAGCAGTCGCCCCCATATCCTCTGGCCCCACGGGTTTCGCCGAGCGGGTGGACTTGTAGACCACACGGAGAGTCTCAGCCTCATTCCCCTTCCCATCCCCCTCCTCCTCCTCGCTACTCAATTCACAGTAAACCACCTTCTGTTTACCACTGCCACGGGTCTTCTGTATCATCGGATTGTGGGTCGCCCGCTTCTTTTCGCGACGAACCACAGTGCTGCCTTCGTCGCTGCTGCTGCTGCTGCTGTCTCCGGGCTCTGGGTCGCAGATCGGGCGCTTCCTGCGGCCTGCAGGCCCCTTTCGCCCAGGCTTTTTGAACAGGAAGGTGCACACCTGATCCGTCACCTTTCCAGGGGAAAGTTGCTCTGCCATTGTGCAGTCCCGTGCTCCGAAACAGAGGCTTCGCGTTACTGCACGCTCCGCCGAGAAGCCCGAGCCAAGTGCGCCGTGGGAAACTGGAGCACTCGGGTGCGCGAGTGCGCCGCTCTAGAACCCTGCGGGCCACCGTCGTTTCCGCCGCTGTACGTGACCCCGCCCAGCCGCGGGGCTCAGTGGGAAAGGATCGAAGTCGGTCACTTTTCGGGAGCTGGAGGTATTTTTCTGGCCTTGGGAACCTTGCCGCGATGTGGTTCGAGATTCTCCCCGGGCTTGCTGTCATGGGCGTGTGCTTGCTCATCCCCGGCATTGCCACCGCGCACATTCACAAGTTCAGCAACGGGGGCAAGGTGAGGCGGCTGCCGCGGCGGCTCCGCGGCCCGGCGTTACGTAAGGGGCCGTGGCTTGGGGAGGTCATTAGCATCCGGAACCTCCGTGGGAGAAGGGGGATACCGAGGTCGCCCCCCCCTCCCTTTTCCGTATTGTCTAAAAGCGGAGGTTTGTGGAACGAAGCCCGACGGAAACAACATTCTACTAGCAAAACCCGGCTAGTTGTTGGGTGGAGAAGAGTGGGCCGGAGGGACGAGTAGACTGGGGCTTGGAGAAGTAGAGGAGCAGAGGTTAGGTCCAGACTCCTCCTTAGAGGAGGGAGGTGTCACTTCCGCTTGCCCCCACTCCTAGTCTTTCATGCTCGATTTTGATTTTAACTCCTCGTATTCACATTTTAGTAACTTCTCATTCTTCTTCCCCAACCTTAATTAGGTTTTTACTTTGAACATTTTTTTTATCCCCCATTTTCTCTTGCAAGCCTTTAAGAATGTACCTCAAGATCCTGGTTTTTTTTTTTTCCATGTTGTAATTACTCCCTCTTCCTAGTCCTTTATATCATCTCTAGAGTACAGAGTATAAATGTGTTTGCTTTTGGGTTTTGTGGTTGTCCTTCACAAAATCGCTGTTTTCTTTCCATTAGGTCCCAAAAAGAAACAAGTAGTTATGTCGTTAAGAGGGCGTGGGGGCGGGGAGGAAAGAAAAAATACCCAGGTTAAAATAGAAAGTGTAAATTACCATGTTAATTCTAAAGTTTGGTGGTCCAATTTTTTTTTTTAATGGAGGGGGGAGGGAGGAGGAGGAGGGAGAGAGAGAGAGAAACATCAATTCAACAGACACATCCATTGGTTGCTTTCCACTTGCACCCAGATTGGGTGGGGGATGGAACCTGCAACCCAGGTACATGACCTTGACTGTGCCCTTGACAGGAAATTGAACGTGGGACCCTTTGGAGCTCTGGCTCACACTCAAACCACTTACCTACACCGGCCAGGACAGTGGTCCGATTTTACTTAAGATTCTAGTCTTATATTGTTAATTTGGTTTTTGTTTCAGTAATGATTCCATTATTCTATAATGTCATTTACTAAAGTTCTAATATTCCTCTATTGGATCACTCATCTTAAAATGGCAATAATTATTTTTTTTAATTGTAGGAGAAAAGGGTAGCCTATTATTCATATCACTGGTCTTTGATGGAAAGAGATAAGCGAGTCTCTGGAGTTAATCGTTACTATGTGTCAAAGGTAAGATAGCTCTGATGCTACTAGGCATCTGCCAGGGTGGCGGTGGGTTCTAGTAATGTTTTGCCAAAGGTCTTACAGTGCTAATTGAATTTGCATTTTCTTGCCTGCTAGTAAGGTTGAGCAGCCTTTTTCACATTTACTGATTGTATTTCTTGTTCTGTGGATTATTTGCTTATACACTTTACTTGCTCTGTTCTCTTTTTTATTTATAGGATTTCTCTATCTGTTTTGGATGTTAAGCTTGTCTTTTTTACATGTACAAATATTTTTTCCAGTTTCCTGCTTGTCTTTATAATAATAGTTTTTTGTTGTTGTTCATCCTCACCCAAGGATATTTTTTTAAAGTGTGTGTGTGTGTGTGTGTGTGTGTGTGTGTGTGTGTGTATATATATATATATATATATTTATTTATTTTTTTACAGAGAGGAAGGGAGAGAGATAGAGAGTTAGAAACATCGATGGGAGAGAAACATCGATCAGCTGCCTCCTGCACACCCCCCACTGGGGATGTGCCCGCAACCCAGGTACATGCCCTTGACCGGAATCGAACCTGGGACCTTTCAGTCCGCAGGCCGACGCTGTATCCAATGAGCCAAACCAGTTTCAGCAAAAATATATATTTATTTATTTAAAAATATTTTTTATTTCAGAGGGAGAGAGATAGAAACATCAATGATGAGAGAGAATCATTGATCAGCTGCCTCCTGCACACTCCACACTGGTGATCTAGCCTGCAATCCGGGCATGTGCTCTGACTGGGAATTGAACTGTGACCCCCTACTTCATAGGTCAATGCTCAGCCACTGAGCCACGCTGGCTGGGTATACCCTAGGACTGTGGTCAGCAAACTGCGGCTCACGAGCCACATGCGGCTCGCAAGCCAAATGCGGCTCTTTGGCCCCTTGAGTGTGGCTCTTCCACAAAATATCACGTACAGTGCGATGGAAACTTTGTGGCCCATGCGCAGAAGTCGGTATTTTGTGGAAGAGCCACACTCAGGGGGCCAAAGAGCTGCATGTGGCTCGTGAACCGCAGTTTGCCGACCACTGCCCTAGGATATTTTTTCATTGATTTTGAGAGATAGCGGAAGGGAAGGAGACAGAGAGAGAGAGAGGGAAAAAAAAAACACATCGATTGGTTGTCTCTTGCATGCTCACTGACCTGGGCTGGGGATGGAGCCTGCAGCCAAGGTATGTGCTTGGGACCCTTCAGTCTGAGGGCCGACGCTCTATCTATTGAGCCAAACTGGCTGAGGCTGATAGTAGTTTTTTAAGTTCGATCTTCAGTTTGTATTTTATTATTCTTTTTGTTTTGTTTTGTTTTGTTATTTTGTATTTTATTATTCTTAATGTTGGGTTTTATGTCTTGTTTACAAATGGGCTTCCTATTTAAGATTATAAAAATATATTCTTCCAATTTCTCCAAATACTGTTACAGTTTCTGTTTTCTTTCTTTTTGTTTTTGTTTACATTTAAAGCTTTGACCCCATCTACAGGTCATTTTGGGATATAATGTGGAGGCAGAATTTAACTTTCTTTTTTCCAAGAGATAGGCAGTTATCACAATAATCTATTTATAGATCAATTCATTTTTTATTTGAAATACCACTCTGGTAAACTAAATTTCCATATACACTTGGGCCTGTTTCACAAATGTGCTGTTCTATACAGCATTGGTTTGCAAATTCCTGCACTAATATAATACAAATGTAAAGATTCGCTATTATTTCCCATTTGAATGAATAATATGAAATTGCTGTTTTTGTGGTTCAAAAATGACCAAGTAGAAGCATAGGGGAGATAGTCAATAATATTGTAATAACTATGGTGCAAAGTAGGTACTGGAAATATGAGGGTGGAACACTTTGTAAAGTACATAATTGTGAAACTAGTACAAAATAATATTGAATGTAAACTGTAATTGAAAAAAAATTTTAATTAAGAAGTGAAGTGGAAATCCAAAATATGACCAATTAGTGGCATCTTCATATGGTTCAACCTAATAGTATGTTCTAATATATTGTAGGAGTTCATCTTCATTACTCTTTTTAAAAATTTTACATTTTTATATTTTCCCTTTGCTCATTTATTCCTCACAACAAATTTAGTTAAATATTAATCCCATTTCATAGATGAGAGAACACAGGGTCACTGGTTAAATCACTATGAGGACTCAAATTAGGTGATCTATCTCAGTGTAGTGTTATTTGAGACTCTAGTCTAAAGAACACGGTGATAGCTATCTACTCATGTAGAACAGTATTTCTCAGTGTGGTCCACGAATAACCATCATAATCTGGCATACAAGATATAATGCAGACTCCTAGGCCTCTGGCCCGACCAGACAAATTAGGATTTCTATAAAGTGGCTCCTAGGACTATGTAAGTTTAATTTACCTTAAGGTGATTCTTCCTGCAGTAGTAATCAAGATACCTGGACTGTGTTATTTTAATACCTGAAAGAAATGTCATCACTAATCTTTTTTTTTCTTTATTGATTAAGGTATTACATATGTGTCCTTAACCCCCCATTGCCCCCCCCCGCCCCCCCCCATTCATGCCCTCACCCCCCTGGTGTCTGTGTCCATTGGTTAGGCCTATATGCATGCATATAAGTCCTTTGGTTGATCTCTCCTCCTTACCCCTCCCCTCCCCTACCTTCCCTCTGAGGTTTGACTGTCTGATCCATGCTTCTCTGTCTCTGGATCTGTTTTTGTTCATCAGTTTATGTTGTTCATTATAATCCACAAATGCTAATCACTAATCTTTTACTCTATAATTTCTGAAGTATTTGGTTGTGAACTGATTTAGATAGAGTGGGTCTTCTGAATAACTAGTGTCATGTTATGCGTACATAGGGCAAGAGTTCTGGAGTTGGGGAGCCTTGAACTTGAATTCTGGCTCTGCTACTTCCTTACTAACTTAAACGACTTTTAACCTCGGCATTCCTCCTTTTTCAACCTGTAAAAATAAGTGAAATGAGGCTAATAGTATTTTCCTAATGTTGACTATTATTTTATACAACAGTTTTACCTTACTGTTCTCTGACTCTCTCAGAGTGCTTTAGAGAAGGATCCAGATAGTAAATACTTGGCTTGCTTTAGTTCTGATTTCAGGGGGAAGGTCTTTTCATATAAAGTGGTATGTTTGCTGCTGTCAGAAAATGAAAACTAGCCCAGCTTGTGTGGCTCAGTGGCTGCGTGGACCTATGCACCAGGAGATCTCGGGTTTGATTCCTGGTCAGGGCACATGCCTGGGTTTCAGGCTTAATCCCCAGTAGGGGGTGTGCAGGAGGCAGCCAATAGATGTTGATGTTTCTCTCTCCCTCTCCTTTCCTCTCTCTAAAAATCAATAAAAACATTTTTTAAAAAAGAAAATGAAAACTAGAAGTCATTATAAGTTATTCTTTCGTACTTTAGTGATTATAAAATTCAGTCTAAGTTATTGTTGCAGTGAAAGAAACGTGGAATGTAAAAGTACTTTACTAACAGAATGCCATTTGGTGACACTAGAAATAAGAGTACATGTAGATCTTTGACGGGAACAGAATTCTTACATTTTT